CCGCACCCTTTCCGCGCAAAGCTAAATTTCGTGCTGAGAGGAAACATTCCAGGAAGAACGAGTAAAACATGAACCTCGTTGTGATTCCAGGATGTAATTTCTGCCACTGGGCCCAAATTTTGACTCTCTGGAATTTGTGACCACCAAAGAAGGATGTAATTGGTCTTCTACCTGATGTGGTGTTCTTTATATGTTTTCCCGTGTTTTGAAATTGCCAACCGTTTTTTGTTTTAGCAAGTAAAAGAAAAGTTGTTAGCTTGCGTCCTTTTTATGTAGTTGTTTTACACCCCCATCGACATACTTCAGATCATTTTGGAAGCGGGCTTCTACCTAGCCTGTCAGGGGCAACCAGGCCTGAAAGGGATACAACATCCCAACAACGATATTACATTAATGTTATTTGTTCAAGCAAATTGTCTCGTCTGTTTGTTCGTTTATTTCTTTTCTTCATTCTTTTGTTTGAGTTGGACGTATGGCATGACTAAAATAGATTATTTAGGGCGGAAACACTAGACCATGCAGGTGTTCAGGGTATGGAAGAAGGGAGAAAGATGAACAGACAATACGGACGATGCTCTGAAGTTGATATCATGAGATCTTAGTAACTATTTCTAGTTTGGACCAACTCCAGTTTTAAGTAGGTTGTTTATATAAGAGTGAGAGTATTTTAAGAAAAATGAAGCTTTATAGAGGAAAATGTTCTATCAATTATATACCATTGACAGGACATATTTAGTTTCTGAAAGTTGAAAAGTTATTTATCGCATGTGGTCTTGTCATTTCTGTCTTACGTCTTGTCTTACTATTTATCATTCATGGTAGCTGTAGTTATATCTGTTGCTATTCAGTGGATCTATTTGTAAGTCTCCAACCAATTTTGGGCGAGATCTTTCTCGCCTTTGGTTTGCTCCAAACCGGGGAAGTCATACTGACCTTTAATTTTAAAACGGCTGATTTTGGGAAAGGCGCAGTTGTTAATACACAAATTCTTACAAACGCGGTGGATTGCATGCCCCCTTTATTCCTAGATGAATCGTCACAAACGAAGCTCATAAGAAGGGGTCTTACCAGTGGTAAGCAGATGGCTAAAGACCCAGCATTGGCCGTACTTGACAGGACACTTGTTTTTCCAGTACTTTTTCAAAATGGTGGCACTTCCTGTCCACGTGGTGGGCTTGACACCATCATCGTACTCTCCGTCCCATCGTCCACTCAAAACTCCATTATCATCAGCGTCGTTGAGCTGGAAGAAATAAGATACCGCTATCTTAGAATTAGAAAGTTCTATCTGACATTTTTGGCCCTTTTGAGTTACTAAGACCATGAGGTCAGGAAGCAAAATGGTATATTCTGCTCTACCAAAATTGTAAGATTATTCGGAGTAGTTATCAACGCATTTAAAGAATTGCATTCGGACAAGCTTTACAAGTTATGAAGCTCACAATTTTCAACGTCAGATTTCTCAAAACTATGTAGATCTACTGATTAGATATAACTTTCTAATTCTTGGGTAGCGACGTTGGGGAGATATAGGTTCTTGCATTACCAGGAATTTTCCACAGACGGATGAGCAGGAAAAAAAAAGCTGAAAGTCTATTTGATTCTTTTAATTGAGTCAAAAATAAGATACTAGTCCATAAAATTCAGATGGGCTGAAATAATACAGAGATATTGAACGACGACCTCGTAAAGGCATGTGATATTAAACATTTTTAAAAAGTGGTGCATTTGTGTGCACAATTTTGTTGAATTTTCTTTTCCTTAGTGCCAGCAGGAGGCTTAACATGATTTAATGTGTTCTATTTGTCTTTCTCCAAGCCCAAGCAACATACACTTATGAGGAGTGCTAATAAAACCCCCAACACATAGTGGGTATCAGTTGCATAATCCATTGCTCACATGTACACCTCCCTCCCCCCC